ACATGATCTTCTGATATAGGATGAATGGTTCAGAATTGCAGGTTATAACCAGTTCAAAGTCATCCATCGATAGAAACTACCTTAAAACGAGGCTCCGCACTTTCAAAGATAAACACTTTGAATATAATGTCCTATCCAACAGTCGATAGCCGAAAAGTCAGCTAGTTCCGGAAGCTTCCATTAAGTAATTGAGTACCAACAAGAAAGTTTGTCAGATGGGGTCGGACGCAAAGGATATGGCAACCCTAACGTATTATTCAGCAGCAAATGTCCGTTAAAATTTTGCAGAATTTTCTTTCGTATTTCTTTGCATAACGCTGTATCCCATTAAATAGAGGGCATATATCGCTGATACACTGCGCGTGGCCAAACAGTGCTGACGAACAGTTGAAGAAGAAGTTCTTAGACGCCTCTACCGATGCTTCAAGCCCGTTCGATCTTTAGGCGTAAACGCAAGCACTGCAGCAGCGTTTCACTATTGCTTGGACATGCTTTAGACAGCTTAAGTCGGATGAAAGAATCACTCCCAGCTATCTGGGTCACCGGCTAACTAGCAATGACCAGCAACTCAATAGAAAGTTAGAGTAGCTTCTTTTTGTGCGTCGCATCACGTAAATGAACTGTTTCGTTTTGAACACCGATTGAGAAAAAGCTCTGAGGCCGATTTTGAAACACCGCTTGAGAAAAAAAAACAGCAGATGGTGGAGAAGCCGTTCTTTCAATTAACCTAGTCGTAGGTGGACTTCAGGAACTGAAGGAGGACTGTGTCCTCAGCATACTTGATACATGTCACTTACAAAAAGATTTAATAACAGGGTTGAAAGCACCAATCTTTGGACTACACCCGAGATATCTGGCAGGGCCTCCGACTTCTGGCGACAAAACACCAGGAACTAGCGATAATTGCTGGGACCGATAAATGGCAAGGCATCGAAGGATCGGTTGTTGCGCTATTTCAAGCAGGGCAGGCCGTCGAGACGGACGATACTGAAGGCGGATGATAGATGGAAGAATGCGGTCCTAGCAATTCTTCGGCCTCTGTCAAGTTCACTTGCGATTTCGTTCGTAATTCAGACTCCAAACCCAATTCTGTAGGCGGACTGCTCGAGGATGGACAGAACTGACCTCTCGAAGCGTTTAAAGAGAGCGGCAGTAAAGGCGATGGGCCGGGAAAAAGACTGCAGTTAAGGGTTTCTCCTTTTGCACTGGAAATAAGTTCGACGAGCAAGCAGCAGTTAAATAGAAGACG